AACTCATCCTTCTTTGTGTCTAAGTGAAGTCTCTTTCTCATATCTGGGATAAGCTATTCTCATTGTAAATATGTTAATACAACGAGACCCTGACCAGGTGATTATACGAAAATATCATTATGCCATGATTCAGATGTTGGCAATGGATTAATTTCTAGTAAGTCCAATTTTAAAAATGAGATTAAGAGTGAAAATATACAATTTATTTCCAACGTTTCAGATTATAGACGATCCATCTACAGAGGTTTTATGTGAAAACACTTAAGTTCTAATTAAAGGTAAGGAATTAAGCTTATGAATATAATAACATTAACTCTAAATCCACATACAATAGGATAAAAGAAAACATAAAAGAATCGAGAGATTAGGGATAAATAAATAGAATTGAATAAGTAAATGTTTTAATTATGTTGATGGTGTATTTAAGGATAGGTATATATTTGTTGATTAGTAGTGGCCTGTTTCAATTCAGAATTTTGACTTTCTCAAAAGTGGTATGGTAGGTAGCCAGTGTTTTCTTCATGATATTAATGGCAGATGTGCAGGTACTTGTTAGTGAAGTTCCATTTTTTGTAGTCATGTAAATGTTCATGTGCACAGAGTTGGATGTAGATTATTTCTTGTCAATGTAGGTAGCTATACAGTTCTCGAACGTGTACCCGAATACGACAATAGTTCGAGGACTACCGCGCAACACGCCGCTAGAGGGTGCCACACGTATATCGACATCAGAAATTGGGGAGACGATGTCAATAGAAATGATGATGTACACGTAGTGGCACCAGAAGGCGCGTTGCTAGGCTACCATGAAAGGTGGTTATGACGTCATAGTTCCATAAAGTGGAACCACAATCATGATTATACGTCTCAACATGTGATCGATTGTTAAGATTTAATTATGTTCTATAGTTAGTTTATGTATAAAATACTAATCCATTAGTTTTATATTTAATCGTGCCTTTTACATTTCCTGACCTTTTATATGTAAATCACTTATCACCATGAAAATAACACTTATTTGAATTTCTCAATAATTTATCATAAAACTCACTGTTTCACTCATTTATGTCTTTATGCTATCCATATAACTAGTTACTAAGAGTAGTGTTTATATAAATGGAGAATGATGAGCTCAGTGTCTCAACATATCATCAATGGCTAGATTTAATTACATGTAAAACTATTATTGATTTAACATAATAAAAAAGTTATTGACACAATATTTTTTTAACTCTTTATTAATTATTTCACATTAAATATTTTGCAATCTGATCTACATAAAAAGACATATCTATTAAAGATGTACTTACATGAAAACGTTCTGCAGCAAAATCATGAATAAACATATCATTAATATCTTTGTGGGATTCAAATAACGCTTTTGTTCCTACAAACCAGATATTCTATTTCTGTATCTTTCATTTAAACTTATTAGTTTTCCAAATGCACATAAGGAGCTTTAGTTATAAACCAAGTGATTATTTCAAAGATTTTTGATAACGTGAATTATACAATTCAGTGTTCTTGTATACAAAGGATGATGGTGCTACTATACTTCTATATGGTAGCATAGAGGTTTCAACTTGCATGTGATTGCATGCACTGTTTACAGAGTTGGTAATAAATATTGAACAAGATAGTCGATTGTGTTTTAACATACTGATTATAGTTTTAGTTTCTATATCTACTCCCACTTTTTACAATTATAATCCTAAAAAGGATGCTTATTTAAATATCGTGCAATAATTTAAAACTTACACTTTTACTAGTTTTTATTTATACGAAAATCGTGTTATATGCTCCAGTCAGTGTCATTAAACATTGTTAGGAATTACAAAGGTCGTCAGTGGTCAGCCTCCTCTTAATGCACGTGCACACACACACACACACACACACATGAACTTAGTTTATGAATGATAGAAATGCAAAACAACCATACTTTACAACAATCAGCTTGGAATAATTATTCAACATATTAAATGTATGAGATTTCATTATACAACAAATGGTAACAGTCTAGTCTATAACAAACAGTCTATTTTTTTCTTGAATTATCTCGTTATATTTCGAAATAGTGTTATGTTAACACTGAAAAATCAATACATTTAATTTGCATGACATACGTTTTTCTTGTTTTATGCTTTGATGTTTCTAGAGCTGAATAGTGTTACTATCACATTTAACATACTGTTGAAAAGGTTTTGTCACACCTAACGCCTTTATATAGATATTGACCGATCTGAAGATTTAAGATACAGATTATAGTTTTTGTTCTATAACTTTTTTAGATTTTATGTGTAACGTCTTGAAAAGGACGCTTTTTAACACACAAACTTACTATACACACATAATGCATGTTTCACTTCTTTAATTTTAACATCTAGTTAATAAACCCTGTAGTAAATCATTTTGCTACATAATAAATGTGTTTATTAAAGGATAGCAACACTTACCATTTTTCATAAATCTTTGGGAACAGATATAACTGAACTTTCTTCTTCAGTAGAGATGTAACTGATCTCACATACGTGTTCAAAACCACCGTGCCTGTTTGTTTGATCCGAATTTCGCGCAAAGCTACACGAGGGCTATCTGCGCTAGCCGTCCTGATTTAGCAATGTAAGACTAGAGGAAAGGTAGTTAGTCATCACCACCCACCGCCAACATACGACTTTCTTAATTTACAAAAACATTGGAATGCATAAGTCTGTCGCAGATGCCAAACGTGACCTACTGTCCAGTTCCCGAGTTCATAGGTCGGCTGGAAGTGTATCAAAGTATTGATCAAAGCACTATATCTGTCATTAAGGTTACATCATTTACTAAGGTAATTAAATTTAGATTTGTATCAAGGTATTGATCAAAGCACTATATCTTTCATTAAGGTTACATCATTTACTAAGGTAATTAAATTTAGATTTGACATTTGTTGATTAGCAGGTTTTTTGTAAATAACTGTTTCAGGTTTGCTTCAATTCAGAATTTTGACATCCTACAAAGTTGAATGGTAGGTAGCCAGTGTTCTCTTCATGATATGAATGGCAGATGCATGAACTATTGTCACATTTAGCCATGTCAGTCCATCTTGTAAAGTATCGCCATAGACATGCCACAAACTGAAATACAGTTTCCACAGTGTCAGGTTTGACTTCTCCGAGCTTCAGATGAAAACCTTCTTTTGTAAGATCATATTGTTTCAGCAATGCCACTTTTAATTTTCATAATCCATGGCATCTTCTTATGCAATGCTTGCATACACTTGTATTACTCTTCCTGTGGGAAGTGAGACAGATTATGCAGTCACTTTTGTCCTAGTTTTGACTTTGGGTGAATCTTTCATATCTCTCCAGGAAAGCATCCATGTCATCTTTATGTTCACCAAGTTTGGGCAGCTGGTCCAGAGCTCATTGTCATTCTTGGGTCCTTCTTTCTGTTGGGTGAGTTTGGCAATCTCAATTTGTGCTCTTATTCTCTCTATTTACAGTCTCTCTCTTTTTTGCTTTTATTCTTTCTCACTCTATTTGCAGTCTTTCCTTTCACTTTCTTCTCTTTCCTTTTCTCTGCCTACACTCTTCTCTCTCTCTAGTTTTATTCTTGTTTAACAAACTCTCATAGTTCACTGTCTTTTAACCCAAGACTCGCACCTCTTTCAATCACTTATCAAAATCTGTTGACATGGTTATATTACGTGATTGTGATCTCTACATTATTTTCACCACCACTACAGTTATGCATATACAGGCCTAATTATTCCTGCTGTTATTCATGTCTTCTTTTACCACCATTTACTACTGTATAATCCTGGCTGGCTCACCAAATGTCAGGGTTTTAAGTATGTAATTTGGGCTGGGATTCTCTTACAGAAGGTGTCCATGACTTGTTGGCGATAAATTCAAACAATAAACGGACAATCCATTGATTTTAAAATAATATATTCAAAACCAGTCAAACATATGTACAAAACTCGTTACACTATAGGATATCACAGTTGTATCTAAAACTCTAAATAATTTTCTTTTCTAGTCAAAAGTCCAAACAGGTTGATTAAATTACTTTAGAATCAAATTGACAAAACAAACTATTTTTCTCTACTTTGTTTCTTACTGTACAATCTATGATTGATTCACTTATGACACTCTGTAGGTTACCACAGTTGTATCTTGAACTTTAAATAATTGTCCTCTTTTCGTCAAAGTCCACACAGACAGGTTCAATTACTTTAGAACATCCTGTTATAAGACAAGTTATTCTCATTTTCTCTATTAAACTGTGAAACTCATTTTAAAATATCACTGTTACAGCTAATCACTCACACACTAACTTACTTCACATTTTCTAGCTTTTTTCTGACTGAACGTGACTTGTGCTTGCTTGGTCGCCTATATTTATACTTGTTCACCAAGTCCTTGAATTTTTTATAAATTAAACAAGCGACACTATAATGTAACAATACTTACTCAAGATAACGAGAAAATTACCAAAGATTCGAGTAACATGGCAGCAACAATATTACAACAATTTGAACCACACACATACAACGTACGACTCTTACCAAGTTATGCAAACAAATTTGTTACAACCAACACTTTTAAAACAATCAATCTTCAACATTCCTGTCATGAAAACTAAACAAACATTAAATATTAAGTCACAAAACAAACTACATAATACTGCTCACACTAAACAGTCTTGTATATCCAACACAATGCTGCAATATTAAAAAAATGGTATTTCACAATTCCCTGTTACTTACTTCAACCAATAGCCAACATTCAATCTCAAGCCAAGCTAGTCACACAGGTTTCCGTGTTGCTTATGTGAATAGTTTTGTAAGATGGTCAATCTAGAAAAAACATTTTACACAATCTGTTTTGTAATCAAACAAACTGATTTATCATCATTTGAAAGAATTTTGTGTAAGGAAGCCAAATGCTCACTACATGTTAGATTTGGTTGAAATATCACTTTATCTGCATGTAAAGAAATAAATATTACTACAGTTTATTCTGAGACAAAATCTTTTATTCATATCATACATGCCTTATCACTTATCTCAAGTGTTATGATTTATTCAGTAAAAAAATTGGTAAGCTTGTGCCTCAAATCCAACATTCTTAGTTTTAATTCCCAATACCAATTATCTTTCTTGTGAACTTGGTTTAATATCTTTTCGTTCAGCCTAATTGTTATTCCTGGTATTTGTAAAGTGCTTCTCCTATTGTCATTCTAGATGAACCGAAATCCAATGGTTAGCTACAACGTCACTTTTCTTTGGATGCCATGTGCCTCATCAACTGATTACTTAGCTTCTCTACTTTCTTCACATCCTGGGCATGCTCAGTGAGATACTGCAAACACTGCAAGGAGAAACTTAATATTAATAAATAATGAGAAAGACAGAAACTAACAGATATGAAAAGGATGGTCTAACACAGATGTTCATAAACTGTATAATTTCTAATTATTATTTTGAATACCATTTATTGGTTATGTTTAGGTGTTTTATCCCAATTATTTTTTAACTAGTAGAACTTGTCAAAATTTGATAAATATATAGATTTGTGGTACTTCACTCAATTCACACTGTTACATAATCACACAAAATCGAATAATTTGTGATTAAGATACATTCTTTCTAAAAGTTCCAGAAAAATGTTTGAATTATTCATCCATGTTTTTGCACTTAACAGAATTCTCAGAACTGAACAAAACACATGCAATTTCTTTAAAATATAAAAATGTAATATTTTTTATTAGCATAAAATGACAAACAATACTCTGACAACTGGCATTAAAAAATCATTTTGATGCCAAACCATCACAAGAAAATTATGATTTAAAAACTTTGCAGTAGAAAAAGATTTGTTTAATTTTATCAACATAAACATGACAGTCACACTTAGTGGGCCTTTCATCCATACAGAACTGTATTTTGCATATTTTCTGTTCTCTTTTTCTTTATATAGTATGTAATGGATAGACAGTTATATTTTATAACAATTGCTATTACTCTGCTTGTAGAACATGTTGAAATTTGACAAAATATACAGAACTGTGATATTTCAAGCCACAGACTAACGCTAAGGGTTATCAAATTTATATTGAAAAAAGTTGTTTGCAAAACTTCCTTGTAAACAACATTTTGAGTATTTGCACTTAGGAACACAAATTTTTATCCAATCAAATGACAGTACCATGGATAGGGCTTTAAAGATTTGATCATAAGAAAAATTGGCTCAGTTAAGTACAACTGATGAACATACAGCTATTTGCTCAAATTAAATTAATTAATCAATCTATAAAAGATGTTTAAGTCAATAATGTACAAAGATTATTATTCACTTATTATAATTTAAAATATTTTAAAAGCTATATTTATATAGAATACATCTAAATACATTTTTGAAAAGAAGGTTATTTTAAAACATCTAGATTTAGTTTTATCTAACAGTTTCTTTGTGTGTTTGATGAGGACATGTTTCACCAAATCTCTAACTGCTATGGGCACTAAACCTGCAACAACCTGCAACTCTAGTAATGGGTTTTTTGAAAAGTAGAATGTTTAATCTTCTTTCCAACTATTTTGAGATGAGCTAAAAAAATTATTTAAAGGTAACATGGAAGAAAAAATGTTTGGATGATTGTTTTATCACTTTGAACAAAGGTAATGATAATGAAATTTTCTTCCAGACTGTAAATAAAATAATCAAATTTATGTACGAGTATAATGTTTGGATGATTGTTTTATCACTTTGAACAAAAGTAATGATAATGAAATTTTCTTCCAAACTGTAAATAAAAGAATCAAATTTATGTACAAGTATAATGTTTGGATGATTGTTTTATCAATTTGAACAAATGTAATGATAATGAAATTTTCTTCCAGACTGTAAATGAAAGAATCAAATTTATGTATGAGTATAATGAAAATATCATGTTCTTATAGAAGCTAAAGAAAATTACGAAGTTATGACTGATGTTTATTATAAACCAATGAATTCACTCAAGTATTTAGATTTTTTAGTATTCATCTCCATATCACTAAAATTAAATATTCCTGTTACTCTGTTACACAAAAGGTTATATATATATATATTAATATTTAATCAGGAGGTGAGAAACCTCTGATTAAAAGTATTGAAACAATTTTAAATAAATGTTATTATCCAGAGAACATTATTGATAGAGGTTTTAATTTGTTGAAAAAATCGATTGAAGAAGAAAGAATTAAATATAATGATAATAATAAAAATTTTATAGCATTAGTCACAGCTCCAGAAATATCAACTTTATTAAAAAAACAATTTAATTAAGTTGTAGATAAGAAGTTAGGATGGTTTCAAAAATTGTAAAATAATTTGGGTGAAAAGAATAGTAGGATTGACCGTCACATTATAATGCCCCCATGGCTAAAAGGGCGAGCATGTTTGGTGGGCCAGGGATTCGAACCCACAACCCTCAGATTGCCAGTCAAGCACCCTAACCACCTGGCCATGCCGGGCCTGCAATTTATGTTTTGAAATGTTCTATTTGTCGAGAATTATATGTTGGAGACACTAATAGTTTGAGATTAACAGTTAATTTACATTGGTATCATGTTAGAAATCTAGAAAATTGTTCCGTCCCAGTAAGTAAACATTTTCATTTATATAATAATAATATTTTTAATGTGTTGAATTAATTTTGTTTTGAAAGATCTTCCATTTTGGAATTGTACTAAAAAAAAGAAAGAATAATAGTTGAAAAATATTTTACTGACCATTTTAACATTAATTTAAATTTAAACTGAAAGCCATTTGGAAGCAAAATGTTTAATAAATAGTGATCCAGAGTATGCATCTTAAGTTAATATTTGTAAAAACAAAAAAAAAAT